CTATAATGAATTTAGAGTCTATTTTTCTTTCGAGGATATGACAAGAGATCAGTATGTATTATCTCGTGAAACTTTTCAATTTTCAATATTAAATTTCTTAGCGGAAACTTCGTTCAATGGCACTCCTGTTGAAACAAAATTAATTTGATTTATTGAAAATTAAAGTTTCTTTCTTCATTTGTTCGTTTACGATCGTATGAGAAATTATTAATTTTTTTTTATCGTTTTGAGTAGAAAATACATATGCATTTATTCTGCAAATTTTTGTAACATATATATATTTTGGATGATTTTAATTTTAGAAAATGATAAAGTGTTACTCGATCGAACGTTGTATTAGTTCATCAGAATGATGTTATTTATAATCTGCTGTATTACTCGTTATGCGGTCATGTCTGGGAACTTCGATTATTTCATATCACGTGTGTCGTACACTTTGCACAATATTAGCCCGCCAACGCGGAATATTTCTAAGGCTTCCACTTATCCTTGGGATTCAAATCGTGAGACGGAGTTTGTCGCTATTTATTCGTTTGTCACAATAGCAATCCATTGACATTTAGATATTTAAATTGCAGCTGCAATTGTACCCGCAAATGAAATTAATTATTTCAAATAATTTATCGAAAATAAAATTACAAATTTAATATTGTATAATATATATTAAATATTACTAATATTCAATATTATATTAATAATATTCAATATTATATAATAGTAATAAGCGAAAATTTACATTCCGGTCTTTATTACGCAATGGCAATTAAATTTACAATAAGTTACAATAATTATTAGCAACTCTTTTTATTATGTTAATAAATTCTATTATATTTCAAGAATATATTTGAAAGTAAATTAGTTCAGCTATCGGAGTTAAGCATCTGGATATGACGCGTTTATATTTATAAGTTTAAGATGTCCTTTCCAGCGCTGCCGCGCGATCGCATTTATCTATCGTGTGTGGCCAGGAAATTTTGCGATGAGAACCAATCGACTTCCGGCTGACCGTGTGTGTACAAATCGAAATTGAATTACGGCGGTCGTATCTCAGCGCGAACTCCCGTGGTCGAGTGCCTCGGAATTAAAGGGAATAGCGCGTTCCGCGATGTGCTTATTCCATATAAATTCATGACTTTACGCTGGGAACACCAAGTCAGCCAATATTTACGTAATAATGGTGTTTACCTTCGTTTCTGCTGCTCTTCATCATAACTCGGCATTATACATACATTCTCATCCACGCCTCTTTGTTGGAACATTGTCGGATACATAAAATTTCTCGAACTTTAGTCCACATTTATGTTCTGTTGAATCTATGTATCATATTCTTGAACGTTACAAGAAGTTTTTAAATCTGCTATGTTTCACAACAATTTCGGAAAAGAACAATATAATAAAATAGTTTGCTCATATAATCAATTTAACGAAAGTAAAAGTAAAAATGTCGTTATTTTTTATTGTAGTTTTTAATTTTGAATATTTTTACAGCTAATTACGTTAAAATGTTGTGTTTAAAATTGTATTTAAAATTGCAAAAATTCTTTGTTATATCCCTCTTTATCGAAATTATTTTTTTTTCTGTTTTTGAGAAAAAGAAATTTACTCTTAATTAAAAGGTTTTCTTGTGCTGATTGATATTTTACAATTTTCTTCGATTGTACCGTTCGATATTTTTATATCGTTGACAGAACATTCGCGCGATCGTTCTTTTATAAGACAATCGGCACGGTTTTTATTAACGCGTTCTCTTGGTCGTTGAATGAGTCAGGCCGGTCGCCAAGAAAGGCAAGGGTTTGCCAATAGCCGGTTACACGCACACGCGTGTATAATCCGTGTGTGATCCGTGGTTAATGCGTGTTAAAGTTTTTATCTAGTTGTGTCCCAAGGATCAAATCAGTCACTTGACAATTACCGATAATTGCAACCTGGAACACTTTATACCCCCGGAAGTGTATCGATCATCGGCTTATCGCGGATCGCTTATCTTCGCTTACCCTAAGTGCATGTGTAAGCATTACTCTCTCTGTTTGTACACAGCGCGTATATTATCTATTTACGCGTGTGTTTTCCCATTTGCGAGACTCATTTTCAAACCTTATGATTATAACTTACAATTAATAATTATTATTACATTAGGAAAAAGCTGCTCAAATCTCATACAAATATAGTTAGGGTGTATATTTCCGAAAATAACTTTTATGTTAATTTTAATTTTGAGATTCTGAAGACTATGGTTTTAATATATCCTAAAAACTTAAGAAATCTATTCTTTTTTGCAATATTTAAATTTCAAAATTTCTTATAAAATATTTTGTTGATTTTATTTTATTTTTTTTTACCAACATTTCTTGCAATATTTAAATCTCTTAGAAAATATTTTGTCGATTTTATTTTTTTTTAACCTAACCAACATCTCTTGCATTAGTTTTATCTTTTGTATTATTTTGTATTAAAAATATTTTTTCTTAAATAACAATATATTACACATACACATTCTTTTATATTTAAATAACATAACTTATTGTATATGCACAATATTTCTTGATTTATAATACTTTTAGGATTTAAATAATATTGTCCAAATTTTATGATTATTAGCCGATCAGATGTTTAGAGGTGTTTCTATATTTTTTTTATATTAAAAAATCATGCATAATAAATTTATTTTAAAATTGCATCTAAAATACTTCAATTATATCTGAAACAAAAGAACCTGGGAAATCATGGAATCTTCAGAGAATTTCTTTACAAAGTTTGAGTTCTCATAACAATTTTTCGTAGATTATCCCGATTAATTTGATATTTAATCGCTGGTGATTTTCTAGAGAAGGAACCTCTTATTTAAGAGGTAATTTCCGGCACTTTGACATATATATTCGATATATCGACATATATAATCGAAGTTTCGATCCGACCTTCTCCAATTAGCGGCTAATTCGTTACGTCATCGCACGATCTCTGAATGAGCCTATTGAGTTCTGCGGTAACGAACGTTTTGGTTCGTTAGCGAACTTATCGGCGGGACGAGTAATTCGCGGGAATTTCTGACACAATTGCCGTAACGCTTTTTTTTTTCACGGGCTCGCATCGCCACGCGCTCTTACGCATAACGCGTACAAATCGCGCTCGATTATAACGCAGCTACGAATCGCATGTACTGAAACGTGGAATGAGAAATGCATGTTCGCGTGTAACAGTTTTTACGCAGCATGATTAGCGGAATGCGTCGTTGAAGCGCAGTTACATCATTACTTTAGATGTAGAAGAAAAGAGATATGTACTGTTCGTGGATATAAAGCATCTGATCATTTATCTTTTCAAATTCAGCAAAAACATCAGCTAAAATTTGTTCCGCGATATTTCAACATTTCTTTTATTTATATAAACACATTTATTATGTTTATATAAAAAATAGAGAATAAAAAAAATGTTATAAAATATTATAAATAATACATATAAATAATACATATAAATAATACATTTAAATATTAGGAACGTATTTTTGTATTAATATTTATTCTGTTTCATTTTTTTTCGTTTCAAAATGTCATCGTGGAGTTTAAAGTTATATTATAATCATACATTCTCACAAGCTGACGTTACAATATATGATGTAAAGTAATCGATGCGGTAACGAAAATTAGACTTGCATCGTCGCTATTTAAAAGTGCACAAAGGCCTCCTACTCGTTTGCATTCAAAATACCAATCGGCCGAATTGGGCCTAACTGCATAACATTTACTATTATCCATGTTTAAAGTATCTGGCCTTCGATTTAAAAAAAGACACTGCACGTGCAGAGTCTGCTACCTATCAAGGAAACGCATGCACTGCGATTACGTTTTTCCGCTCATTGAAAAAGTAGCTGGTGCTATTTCATCATTTCAGCGTGAACTCGTTGCCATATTAACGAGACTTTGAGAGAGACTTTCCGGTTTAAAGACACACGGATGCGTTAAAAAATTCCTGCTCTTACTTTGAACTATTGGATAAGTAATAATAATGAATATTCTTTTTGGAATTTCGCGATCCAAAGCTCGGGAGTCTGAGATACCTCTGTGAAGTTTGGTACTTCGTTTTCAAAAATTAAAAGTTTTACCAAATTTTATTTGCACCTACAATAGTTTTACAATTCTTCCAATTTTTAAAAAAGAATTCGTCGATTTTATAACGATAGTTTTAGCCCTTACATATTTTTAAATAATGTACTGTATTAAGATAAAAAAAGAGTTTAAAAATATATATAAAGACCATTCAAATCTGTCAGAAACTGTAAAATTATTGAGGGTGATAAATCTTTGAATTTTAGAAAATGAGATGCCAGCTTGACAGAGGCGTCTTCTGAGGTCTCGATTTTGCAGAGAAATGCATATCTCGCGAAATGTCCGGCTTAATAACCGGCAGTTGCGCGTAGGTGCACTCCTCCTCGCCGTTGCAATTTCTTTCATCCTGCGCACATTAAGGAACATTCATGGGCAACGCGCGAGCGCGTCTATTTTTGTCCGCGCTCTATTTCGGCTGCGGTATCTGGAGCTCGATGAGCGACAGTGGACAGATATTCCGCCAAGTAGATGCACTTAAGACGCGTGCACACCGAAGAGACCGAGTATAATGCACCACATCATCGCAGGACGTTTGATTAACAAGTGGAACGTGTTCGTTAATTACGCTCCGCACGACATTATTTATTAATTGCATCGTGCAGAATGATGATAATAGCGCGCGACGTGATCGCATGCGAAATATGTGTAATATAAAATAATTATATACAGAGAGAGAGAGCGAAAAATAGGCGAGTGAAAGAGTATTTTATATATTTGATATTTATATAAAAAGAAATATGAAGAAATGAATTTTTTTTATATGTATAAAAATTATATTATTTTATTAATTGTAAATCATTCTTTAGCTAGAGGATTACAAACAATATTTTTGTATCTTCTATTTCCTAAACGTATAATTTTTTCGCTAGAAAAAAATCTTATTATCTTTTTGCTTCACTTGTTTATGTGCAGTTTATCTTTTTGCAATTAAATTTATTCCACTGGAATGTAATGAAATAAATTTATCGTGCACGTTGTTCCAAGAGAATGCATTCTCGGAAACCGTTGGTAATCGTCTTGTACGAGATGCATCTCGTTGATTCTTGCTGCGGAACTTATTTTTTTTTTTTACAACGCTCGATTCATCGATCGGTTACGTGATTGGAGATGACTGTCGCGATCGATCCAAAACATACGTCTCGTGATGCCTACGTAGGTGGATAACTTATTGACGCAATTCTGCATTTAAGATGCGATGCAACAAGTGGCTGACACGCATCCTGTGCGTTTCAACGATCGTCCGCACAAACGATCCCGATGATATCCGATCGACAGATGGTTATAAAGAGTAAAAGGATCGATGACTAATCTCGATGTACTTTGATTTACATATCGAGCGATAAGTTCGTATCTCTGCGTTCTGGAAAATCGAAAGGATTATGCGTTATCGAAGAGATAGATTTGGCTGTTAATATGAGAGATATTCGCTAAAATAAAATTAATATTATTATAATTTTTTTTAAACGTATATTAATTTTGATATTGCAAAAGTAAAAGAGCTTTCTATTTTCAACAATTCATTTTCGAGTAATTATTTTCATTGCATTAATTCATATAAGTACAATTAACAATAAGCTTGATCAGCTTCAAATTTGATTTGATATAAATATTTTTATCTTATTGAGAATCTTACAAAATACTCTTATATTTTACAATTATATATCTTATATAATATTGATATCTGTGTCGAATTATCTTCCGATATTGAATCCGTTAAATCGATTTATCATACTAGAAATTTATTATATCGAATGTAAGTTTATAATCAAAGAAATCCATCAAGTATCAAATTGAGAATTCAATTATATCAGTCTCTATTATAGCGAAATGTCTTTATATGATATATTAGATCAAGATTGCCATTTATATACTTTAATAAGTGCACATTTCTTAATTATCAGAGAACGATCAAAGAAACGTCGTATAAAACGGAAAGAAAATTTGTTTATTCTCCGTTTAATTAATACCATTTACAGAAATATGGTAAAATCGAGAACACGATTTAATGCTTCTCTATACTTAATGCATCAATGTGCAGACAGGAATGCGTTTGTCACTCTGTTTAAGGTACAAGATTCATCTCGCGTGTTTGCTTACCATGTACGCGTAATCGGCGATAAATAAAAAAGAAAAAAAAAAGGATGCAGAGAAAGACTCGTACGTGTGTAGTCCTTGTCCGAAAGCGCACCGTCGTCGAGAGTCGTACGCACGTGGGCGCTGCAACCTTATAAGGATGCCCATAAGAAGCCTCTCTCGGCTCACCAAACCTCTTCACCTTGCCTTATCTTATCTTACGTCATTTGCCGTTTGCGTCGAGTGCTCTAGCGTCTTGCATCCTCACGAAATCTGTTCGCTCGCATGCGCGTGCAGCCAAATTCCACTTTCCCTCGTTGCTACATCGTTGTTAAAATTCGTTCTACACACGCACATGCTCTAAAAGAGAAATATACTATTTATCACATTGGTCAAGCATAGATATACCGTATATTAAGGTACTCGAGACTAATGATAGTGATATTTTACGCGCTTTTAACGTCCTCCTAAGTATTTTCAGAGCTTACTATTTTAATTGACGTACATGTGTGGGCGCTATATTAGTCTCGGACATCATCAGATTTATCGAGAGAGGAACCTTAACGACCTCTTCGTGTACCCGATATAAAGAGATTATCTCGCTTCGCTTCATGCTTAATTCCTTTTTACTCGCCTACGCATATTTCGACTTAGAGTATCTCTAAAGAGGAAGGTGATTAACGAGAAAAATTTGCGTTCCGCATACGTATTCCTCAAGTGCCGCCCACGGTACTGGGTGTCGCGGACGAAACTAGAACGAGTGCACGATAGAAAGTAAATGGGAGGTGCCGCGCGACACACAATAGTTCTCCGAGCACCTGCGTGGGAGTTAATTCCCTAAATAATTAAATTTTTGTATGATTGCATTCGATTGCAGAATGAACAGAGTTAAGTAGAACAACTTGATGAACAGCAAGTGGATGATATTGTTCAAAAGCGCGATAATTATTGCACAGTTATACGAAGCACCGTTTGTTCCAGATAAAATATTAATTACTATATAAGGGTATTATCTATAATGAACGGTTTACTTTATGAATAATACTTATTTTACTGTTATTTTGTCATATGCGATGTAATACAACTTTGGCATCAAATGCCTTGACAATGAAAATAATGCTTGAATTATTTTCGAATTTTGTAGATTTCAACGAATTTTAAAGCATTTAATAAACCATGAAGTATTATAATCTAAATATAGAAAAATATAAATTTAATGTACTTAGTAATAGCATGAATTCACGTGTCATCTTCACGTGCGAATATCGCGCGTGCAAATTATTTTTAAAATCTATGCACGAAAGGATGACATAATGCATACGCTTTTACAGCTGCCAGATTATAAAAGCACACCGGCTTTTATTATATATAGAGAGTATGGATGTAAAAGTATAACGAGTTTAATCAAGTATAATCAAGCATATCATTTAGTATTAAATATGGGGTGCGACATTATACGTTATATCATCGTAAAAATCTTTATTCTTTACATAGTAGAGTAAATTAAATCTGACATGAAAGAAAGAGAAAGATGCAGGCTTTTTATATCTAAAAAATTTATTTTTTCTTATACACTATTAATTTCAAAATATTTGTTCCTAACTTTCTCTATAATTTACGCGAAGCAAAATTGAGATGCAATAAAATGAGATATATTTAGACAGAGAAAGAGAGAGGGAGATTAAGATTTGTTGAGTTATTTGCTAGAATTTGCATTGTTCCAATAGTTTCTACAAGTGCAAAGTTAATCCTGCCGGAGTAATCTTATTTATATAATTTGCAAAAGATCCAATTTGCTTCCTTTCTTGTATTTATCGGCGCCTTTGAATACAACTGTGTGCAGGTCTGCACAGTATCTTCTAACGCCAATATAGTACTTCGAGACCGATACCTAGCTCAACCTTGCCAGATGTAGCAACCAGCTGTTCCGTATTTGTGCCGTTGGTAACCTAGCTGAAGAGTAGTGTAATCGAGCTCAACTTTGTTTGGTCGGTAAACTCGAGTTCTCTTGCAAGTGGCGGTTCTTTGTGTCATTGTCAGAAACTAAAGAATAACGTGCATTTGTTGTTTTTTTATTCTACCTACATAATTACATTGGTATCTATTCTGTACGTCTGCATCTTCTGTGTATCTGTTCAGTTAAACACGATTACCTGGCGATAAATTCAGATTTAAATAGGAACTTACTAATGATTTTCTAATAATTAATTTATAATAATTTATCTGAAAACTTTTATTTTATTAATTTATAAATTAATAAAATAAACAATTATAAATAAATTTTCTAAAAATTAATTTCTAATAATTATTAGAACAAATTAGTGAAAATTCTGACAAATTAATAAGTGTACGAATATGTCAAAAATAGGAATTAATTTCTACTTTGAAAAAAGATCTTCTTTTATTTGATTTATTTCAAATAAATTTGTTAATGTTTCCTATTAACTATTTAATTATTCTTTTTTATAACAGATTTTGTTATTTATTTACACTTATTATACACTTACATTTATTTATGTTTCTAAAACTCAATTAATATTTAATATTTATTTCTATTCCTTGTAATTTAGAAACTAGTCAGACATATCTTTCGATAATAAAATTCTTCTTAATTTAATTCTTATGCTTTATATAAGCTACTAGATTTATAAAACATCTTATGGCCCTTTATTTTCAATTTCCTAGACAATTTTTATAGTGATATTGAAAATTACAACAACACCAAATAAAATACATATATACAAAGTATTATTCCCTCTGCTTTGCGTATCAACGATATAACATCCTCCATGGGCGTTTTATATACGACGGATCTGCAGCAGGAAGCTGCTGCTTAAATTTAATGTTTAATAGACCGTGCGGCTGGTCCCCCGAACTCAGCATTAAAATGCTTTATTGAATCGGGATGCGACCGAAATGCATTTGAATCGATTCGACGACGCGTGCCAATCGTCTGTTATTTACATCATATTATTTTAATCTTGCATCATGCAGAAATCATAGATAACTGATATCATAAGATAGGTAATTGATTAGTATTAAAGAAAATCGCTGATTCATTATTATGGCCACTACAACCCCCCCCCCCCAAAAAAAATAAAGTTATCATTCTATACATGTTCGTAATAATTTGATTTTATATCTTTGTGAGATAAAATTTTTTAATTCTTTAATTAATATTAAATAAAAATTTAAAATTTATATATCTTGCATTAGAATAACGAAATTTATTAATATAAGAAATTAAAGCGTTAGAGAGGTGCGGTGAGAAAAGAGATGCTTGCAACGATCGTACCTGTCGAAGAGGCACGATGAGCGCATTTCCGCGATGTAACAGTCGTCTCTCTGCATGTGTACATAGGAAAGACTTCGACTTCCGAGTGCACTGTAAATAAATATGGGTTGGTACCGTGTGGTCACGCACTGAGAGCTCCGAGTCGCACATCGCGAATACTAAATCAGCCTAGTGTTATATATCTCATACAAGATCGATTGAGAGTCGTTCAAGATATATTTCTCTCTTTCAAAGTGTGAAGTCTATTAGTCAAATTTTATTATTATTATTTTGTTATTATTATTATTATTATTATACGTGACTTGAAATAACAATTGATGATTCGAAATTATTCGCGAATGTTTCTGGGAGAAACTTTTTAAATTAATAAAATATCAATAAAAAGTTGATATTTCTTTACAAATATTTATATCAACTTTTGATCAGAAAGTACTTATTTACAGTGGTATTATTGATATACCCAGGATTGAACTCCAGGAAAATTCTGCTAAGGAAGAATCGATTTCAATTATATCAAGGAATTTTTATAGAGAATCGTGTATACATATTTCGGTGAATTTTTATTTTCTACTTATTGTTGTAGCCGCGAAAGTCAGTCGCGAAAATTCGCACGATGCTGTCTAATCGTTAACAAGGTTCCGTTAAACGCTCCTCATTATCGTCCGGCGGCGTAATCGACGATTTGAATCGGTCGCGGCGTCAGTTCACCTTCAACTATCGCGGCGGCCTCCTCGATTCCGCTCGCGACTTTAGGCAATTTCTCATCCTGAAATAACCTCTGAATTATTTGTCGTATATACCGTATACGGCCCGCTCGGGGACTACTGTGTATCGATTATCCGAGTGGTATTCGTGCCGCTGATTGTGCCGCAAAAATCTACGCGCCGCCGATTGCGACATTAACCTTCAGCACACTAGACACGTACAGGAAGAACTCCAATTTATAATCAAGAAGAAACAAATGCACTTAACAATTTTTTTTTTTTATAAACTTATAATAATTTTTTTTGTCCTAACAGGCATTTTTTTCTGGTGCTGTGATAACTGGATAAATTATTTTTTACATCTTATAATTATTTAGATAATTTTTATCGTTTGACGTAAAGCCGGCGCGTATGCAGCGGTATTTTTTTCTGGCCGGATAATTCGCGTGCGTCTCGCCGAACGGAATCGTATCGGAACCGATAGCGCATAACGTACGGGCTCATCGAGGCGGGCCGAGAAATTGTTTATGCGGCCCTCTCTGTGAGGTGGGGGCCCTACAACGGGCGAAATTATATTCCGCCGGGCGTCATAATAAATGCGTTTATGAAACGCTGCTCGGTGAACGTTGTCAGTCGATCAGGCTGCGTCGCACGATACTGACATCGAAGGCGAGCAGCGTATCTCGCCGCCGATTTTCCCGATGTCGTCCAATTTGCAAACGCGCAAACTTTTGACGCGACGTTAATTATCCCGTCCTAGTTTCGCTCTATTAACCACCTCGTCGCGTTACACGCCTCGTAACGACTGCGCTCTGGTATTTTGCGAGTTATATGCGCGATAAAAAAAATTGCAATTTAAACTTGGTGAAACGAAGAAAATGCAGGCAGAGTGTTGCGTTGTACTAGAAAGATTGAAATCTGACAAAACTTTCATATAATAATTAATATTATCATATTAAAATTTTTATTTTCTTTTTCTTAAATATTACTCCTGTATAAATAGAATTTATGAAAGAAAATTGAGAATACACGATTTATTTTTACTTTTTATGAGAAAAAAATTAAAAACCTAGATAGTCGAAAAGGAATATTTCATAAAATCATACTTGGGCTTAATATCTCAATATTTGAATGTTACTTGCATATCCGTCTAAGCCCAAAAGTTAAACATATGGAACGTTCTCCATGTAAGCGCGTTTATTTTCGTACCTCGGAGAGGAGAGCGTTTGCTAAACTGGTTGGGTAAACGGGTGAAAATATTCCCGAAGGATAATCACCGATCGCGGAGCTTCGTCGAGCTTCGAAGACAGTGTAAAAGAAGCGACGTAAACGCGTCTTTGGGTCTTGAAAGCCTTTCTACGCTTTTTTTTAAGATCGGAACAAAACGCTCTCGAGAATTCGCCGCGACCTCGTGCGCGAAGCGGGCAATGTCCGGATTAAACTTGCACGTTCTTGAAGACGTCCCCGTGAAGGCGAATCGATCACGCGAGTTGTCTACAGTCTTTCGTTGCCTTCGATTCGGTGATACTCTTCAGTGATATCTTTTGTCGAAAATATACGACGGCAAGAATATAACACAATTCGTGCGAATTGTCATCGATGATGAAATAGTGTAAATGTCGCTCCAACAATCTTTTCATTAACTTCAACAATATAAATGGAACGTGAACTAGTTACACAGAGATAGATATCATATAGATGGATATAATAATCTGTGAGAATTATGAGAAGAATTATATATGTCGAATTTTAAGAAATTGTTGGTGATAACTTTGTGTCTTAAATTAATAACTGCGATTATTTAACAACTTTAAATTTAATTTTGTTTAACTATAGATAGATTATATATCAGACTGTATTAGAAGTGAAATTGGTAAAAATTTATTGACATTTATTGACTTTTAGTAGTTATAGGACAAAAAAGTGAAGGGTCATAATTAAATGTCAAGAAAATCGAGAATATTTTATAAAATTGAATTTTTTTGCCTACTTTAATACTTTCTTTTTTATTAATTTATTCTAAATTCAATATGGATTGGTTATCTCTTTGCGTCTGCGGCAGAAAGAGCAATTTCGACAATGAGAAGACTCAGAAAGACGAGAAAGGCAAAAAGAGTAAACGCAAAAAATCCAAGAAGCAATCCAAGCAGAACAAATCTCACAAAACGTCGTTGTCCTTTGTCGACGAGTCCTTGCGCAAATTACAAGATGAGCAAGTTGAGAATGAAATTATAAAAAAAGAATGGACGAATGGAAATGTTATTAATTGCTTCGACGATTGTGCGAAAAATCACACCGACGTGAATGATCCAATCGATTTGACAAAAATTAACGATTCGCCGAATAATCACTGGTCTTATCATCAAATCAATGACAATCATGACAACTCTGAATTTCATAAAGAATCTTCAGAAAGGAACGTGAACGAATTCGATCTGCAGACACATGACAATGATTTCGAGTATGATGACAATGTGCTATTGCATTCAAGATGTGCATCGAATACAATCGACGAAGATGATAAGCAGGTCAAGTGTATCTCAGACGAAAAAGAGCATGATGAAGAAGCGGATTTGAACGAGTCTGTCTCGAGATCGATGACATCCGGAGAACCCGAAGACTGGATATCGGAATTCGAGGAGAAACAGGATGTACTCGCAGAACCGGGTTTCGATAGAAAAATAAAGGAAAGAACATTGTCCAGAATCAACTTTTCTAGTAAAGAGCAAGCGAAGTCGGAAACGAGAAATTCGTCAAAGAGAGAATCGAGAAACATTCTTCCGCCGATCAAAAGGAAATCCTGCACCGAATCACGCATAGATAATGAGGTACTTCAAGGAACCTGCGGAGAGATGAATAAATTTGGCTTTAAGAGGAGCGCGGCGTTTTGCGAGCAAAGCAATATTCGGCGAAAATTAAACTCGTGTAGCTTCGAAATTGGATCGTTGGAGAATGAGGAGCGAAATTCAAAGACTAGGATTCGGGCTGACGGATCCATGATACCTAGACTTACATCTTCCATGCAGCAAGGAATGAATTTGATCAAGAGCGGGAGCGATAAGACGGAAGATTTGCAAAACGGTATATCGTTGAAAATGAAGACGGTTATATAAGGCATTTAATAAAGAAAATTAAATAGAATGTGTGTTTGTTAAATACAATTTTTAATTTTATTATCATGCAGATTTATACATGTTAATCTGTTTTAAACTAAATTTGATCGAATATCTCATTAATATCTTAATTTAAGATACCATGTTGGCGAATGCTTATCGACTGAGAATAATAATTATGATTATATTATATAATCATTATGATTGCTGTAATTATTTACATTATATATTGCAATTTTTGTTTCAGGTCGCGTTCACTTAGCAGTCGTCTCCGGTGTCAATTTAGAGCAGCGTACTGTAACTGTAGAATGGTTCGAGAGAGGAGAAACCAAAGGCAAAGAGGTAAGTGCAACAAATTGCTCCGTTTCATAAATACTCATAAAAAAGGGAGAGTTACAACGAAAAATTTACTTCTTAATTTAAAAAAAAATTGAAAAAATTAAATTTTTTTATTAAAATAGACAATTTAAAAAAGATATATATAAAGGAAATTTTTTACTTATTATTGGAATTATTTGATACAAATTTGTATTAATTAAGATAATAATACTTATACGAAACGTCACTAAAATAAATTATTTTCTCATATTAATTTCCGAATTAAGTGGATAACGTGTCGGGAGTGTGCTTCTATAATGATAAACTAAATTCTTTTAAATTACAATTTCTCTCATTGTTTCATGTCCCGGATTAATTAAAAATACATACCTAATCTCCCAAAACATAAGTCGCGTCCACAACTTATATCAAGCGATAATCGCGTTTATTCTAGCCGTTTGTGAAAAATGCCGCTGTTACACGAACAATGTTTTCCCTTCGCGCAATTCCGCCGCGTCGAATTGCAATATTTCAATTCCGCACATCCGTAGGTCACGGTTATTTGGTTATTTTCAATTCCATGCTTATGCAATGCCACGGGACTAACGTGCAGCTTGCTAATGGGAACGGGGATCTATTTCCGACAGGCTTGAAAGTCAGGCTTATACCGTCAGTCAAGCCGGTTCGGTCGAGTATAACTTTTGCAAAAAAATCGTAACACGATACTTGTATCGCAATAAGACTTGTGAAAATGTGAATTCTTGGTGAATAAAATATTATACGTTTCTTCTTGATGCGACATGTTGTCGCTAAGATAGTGCAAATTTCTCCATTTCTGCATTTAACATTTTATACATGAGTGTGTTAGATATTCAGAAAATTCAAGAGGATATTTGTTAATTATCTATATATTAGTATAGGAGACTCTTCGAGGATTCTATTAACTTGTTTATAATTTTGCAGTATTTGCAAAATTAATTGTGTCACGAAATATACGTTAATTTCATCATGTTTCAAAGTCTTATTCCACGTCGAAAGGTAATTAGTATAATTTGCTTGAGAACGAATTTAGTAACTATGGAACTCTAAATGTATCACACTCATTCAAATAATTTCCGTTCTACTTTAACTCTCATATCATATAATCTGTATTAATCTCAAGGGAAACTAAATTAAATGCTATGTATATATCTAATGGACAATCTTCATAATGTTACATGTATATGCTTTTCAATTTGATTCGCGCATTAAATGATATGAACTGAAAGTATTTGGATTTTTGTTATTTTTTCAGGTGGAAATCGATGCGATTCTCGCCTTGAATCGCGATTTGAACCAAAAGATGGGACCACCACCGCCACAGGTGATGAACAATCACATGTTGGCGTCCTCGAAGGCAAGGGTACGTGTAAGTTAAATTTGCTATTATGTTAAAATATATTTGCGTCAAATAGCGCAAATCATTTCCAGTAAAATTTGGAAAGAGAACGGCCGCTTTCTCACATTTTATAAGTTTATTAAATCTGTTTATTTAATTGTAACTTTTTAAAAATGTAATTAAAACCTCTATAACAAATATCAAAGAATATTAAAGATAGAATATTGTGGAAATTAAGTTCTTGATTAAAATTAATAATTAAAATTCAGAATCGAAAATACTTATTGATGAATCGAATTGATGATAGAATACTGTGGCTTTAGATGGGCAAATTCGCAAAATTTTCGCGATTATTGATTCGTGAGTGACGTGCCTCTCTGCGAGGAATTAAAATTCGACGTGGGGTTTTAAATGTTCGCGTAAATTCTCGGTCGATCATCGACTGGGCCCGGCGAATTCTGTTTACCGGTTGCCCGGACTACGTAGTATAACCTCGCTCCTAATATGGAAAGAATAATCCGATCTCGCGTCCCGTGGCGTTTATACCGCGGTAGACATGTTCCAGTACCTGTACGTCTTTCAGGTAGGCGTGCGCGTCACTTAAGTCGATTTTTCACATGTCTAAATTTGACATATCTCATCTCATCGTGTGTGTATTCCGGCTTTTCCGTCACGTGGAGCATATAAATAAACAATTACCATTGTTATTAGAGCAAGTTTATTAATTTGATTTATATCTTTGATTTTTTTTTCTTTGTCAAATATTAGATGAGAAAGGCTTTCTAAGATAAATCTTGCTTTTATGAGTTTTAAAGATTACAAAAGTGAAGAGGGCTTGTATAATTTTAACTTTTGTTTATTAATAATGTTTAGGCCTGTCATATGTCCAACATATGACAGCTACACATACGGTGTGTTATAGATATATACGATGTCTTGAATAAATTCTTGGATATGATTATATAAGATGTCTTTTTCTGAAATAATTTCCGAAGGAGTTTTGAATTGTATAATATATGTAGATTGAAAATTAAAAAGTGTGCTTTTAAAATTGATCAAAATTAGTTTCTTAGGGACAACACGGAAGATTATACATTTACGTATACGCAAGACAAACAAATTTTTAAGAACTTTGAATTACACTCAAAGAAAGATATTCTGTTTAAAATTTTTATCTGTAAAAAAGATAGGGTTTTGAAAGAGATCGATTCGAAAATCCGCGGATCGAAAAATTTCTAATCTTAAAAAAACATACAGCAAGAAATTCTCGTAGATCGACCGATGTAGAAAGCCAAAGTCTCGCGTGATTTCCATTACTAACATGGTAACATCTTTTTTTTCCTCCATGGACGCTGCTCATTATCACGGACTTCGGTATCGACGATGGATCACCGACCAATAACAAACCGATCTCGAATACGAAATTCGTCATCTCGGCCGTTCGTCATCCGCTCCGCAAAAAAAAATGCCTTTCTCGACGACTCTCTTTCTCATCGATCCCCTCCGTTCTCGTCGATCGCGGGCTTAATCGTCCGATTGATTTACGTAAAACTGATCGTGACCGCGACCTACGGTAAGGAGCCGGACTCCTCGGCTGAAGAGGACGAGGGGGTCGACGAGTCGGAGAACCAAGAGGAGGGCTCCCTCGGACGTCATGGCGGTCACACCGCAAGAAACGGCCTCGCCTCCGCAACGCTTCCTGTACGAGTCACATCTCGTCTCTCGGTAACGCGCACCTTTTCCCCAATCACCGCAGCAACCGATAACAACAATTGCAATATACAATCTTTTCACAGTAGCAATGATCCTCTACATTCGCGGTCCAGTCATCGAACTGATCTTTGCATCTTCGAGAATGCTCGTTTTTTACGAGCACATCGATTTTACATCTTGTCGCGATTTTTATCACGACGTGAATCAGGCAGTAGTGCACGAAAAATTATGAAAGTACTTTATAATGCAATTCAATATTTGGAAAAGTTATTTCTCTCTGCAGAGAGAAGGCTATTATTTTATCGAAATTAATATAAAACATTAATTTGGGAAATATTTTTCTCATTCAAAAATATTCTTTCTATTTAATTGCTCGCAAAAAGATAAATCTATTCACTGTTATTATAAGATTCAATACTATATTAAAATTTTATTTTAAGAAAATTGAAATTGCTACTTGTAATCCAAATTTTAAAAAGACTGAAAATTGTATCGCGCAGAAGATGCTGAAGAAACGTTCGCAGCCTCGCACCTTTTCTCTATCACGAGCCTAACATTGGCTTTCCTGAAATACCCCTGCCACTAGAGCACCATTAACATTTCTTTTCACCCTTTCCGCACTCGCCGACAAAGTCACGATATCCTAACGAATAACTGGCTAATAGTTGGCAAAAATTCGCTGGCAAAAACGCGGCGTTATTTTATTTCTTTCGTGCGCGAACGCGCAATTTCACGGAACGAGAAATGATGAATCGCTCAGCGATTACCGAGAGTGGGTCAAAAACCGTGTTGTTCTGGCGATCGATACGTGAAAGAACGCACGGGCGTGATTAACGGGCGATCGATGAACCGCGTCTTATCTCGCGTCTTGAACGTCTGACAGAATGTCAGATCGCATGAGCGCAGATGCCGGAAGAGAGGATGTATCATACACTCGGCTTCTCGAAAGAAGCACCGTTTTATTTTTTTTCATTTACAGCACTTTCTAGATATAAGTATATCCTCCTTCTTCGTTGCACGAAGAAACATCGCTGTCCTCTTTAACGAAATGATTAAACGTAGTCTGTTTTCTTTATTTTCAGCACTCCACCAGACCATCTATTCCGGTGAAAGGTACGTAGAGCCAGATGACATTGATTATCTTTTCGTACCTTTGTCGCATTCGGTTAAATAAGCGACATAATTATCGGTGAAATTATGACATGTAAAGACATTCCTATCTTTTGTGTTCCAAAAAATTTATAATGGGCGATGTCTGTACTTTTTCCTATAGTTTTAATATTTCTATCGCGGAATAAACGTCTGTATCGCATTAACTACGGCAATAAAACGCATAATTTAATCGAATCACTGAATCGCAAGGTGAATAAAGTTAATGTGAAAGGCCATTACCAGGCTAACGATTTTGTAGGCTACTTTATCCTGTTCCATCAATATTTTTTCAATATTTTCAAATGTATCCCGTTGTCTGATGGACAGTATAATTTCCGCAATTTATGCTGATAAGCGCGGATGACTGTGAGATTTTCGCGTTCAATAAGTCAATTTTGTGGCCGGACGTTCGCGCTACCGGGGCGAACGTCCATGTGCTGTCGTCGTTTCACCTAGATAAGCCAAGTAACGACGCGAGCCAGGTTACACGTGTATGTACGGTCGAACCGCGACTATCGATGTTTTCGTGCGCCGTATGCAAGGCAGGCGGCACAAGGGCAAGGACCCCGAGGGACGTACAGTACGACGTTCACGAGTTGAGGGGGTTGCACCTCTCGCCGCCGAGTCTCTCGGACACTGTTCGATCTACCCTTCTCGCCGATAGTGCGCACCTCCCGGTGAAACGTCACTTCGAGACCGGGCGACCGATTGGTTTTTTAAAAAATTCACGAGACTTCACACGATCGCGTGTGCGCTGTGACTCGCCATGAGATTCGATCCGCTCGCTTATTGCTTTAGGAGAAAAAATAAAATCCGCGATAGTGAAAATACAGACATCGCTGGCGATGCCCGGATCTTGACGCTTCGAATCGAAGACCACGACACCGGTAATAAAATGATAAAATGTTATTTATGCTATTTTATATTAATTAGAAATTGTTTTAATTGTTTCATGGTTTTTATGTTGAGATAAGTGACGGATGAATTTTAAAAAGTGATTTCGCGCAACTGATTAAAATTAGACAAAACGCGTCTGCGTGTTTAAATGTTCCTAAATTCTCTCTTTTTGTCAATATTAAAACGTAATCTTCCGTTTCTATTAATTGAACAATTTTTAGATTCGAGGCGTCGACAAAAGATCGAATACAGGAGAATAGATCTCTAGCATGGTTAAAAATAAAATTTATGTTTTTCTTAAATTTTCATCATCCTACAAGATTAAAGATGAGGAAAACGTTATGTCTTCGATGTTAATAATTCTTCGTATCAATGTTTTAGCGACTTCGAATAAACAATTATCACGACAAACGGGACGTCCGACAAACATAATGTCATCGACTACATCAGTGAACGGTCATGGAGACTCGGTTTCCGGACTCACGGGTCGTCGGGAGCTCGAAAACATACCCCCGACACCGACGGCAACAGTCGCACAACACAATCTGCCGACTCCAGCGCAAAATAAACAGCAGAAACAAGCGCAACAGCAGCAGCAGCAGCAGCAACAACAACAGCAAATGCAGCAGCAGCAACAAACCCAGGTAGAAAACGGCCGTGGTAGGCGATCCAACGTCGTCAAGGAGGTTGAGAGACTGAAGAAGAACAGAGAGGAAAGGAGACAACGACAGGCAGAGTTAAAAGAAGCAATGATGAATTTGGATCCAGGCAATCCATATTGGGAATTTCTTGCCATGATAAGGTTGTTAATTTGTTAACTATCTTTTGCATTTAAAATGCAATAACTTGCTTCTTAAGATAAGGAATATATTAATATTACTCATTAATTAGACTTGATATAAATATTGTGCTAAATTTTGTAGAATATTGCCACCATGGTATATTTGGAGAACCCTTCATATATGATTGATAGCAAGTATTATATATTAATCGCATCGCTTGTGTATTGATTTTCACAGAGAATACCAAAACGGCATAGAGTTCAGGCCATTGCGAGACACTGACACCGTGGAGGATCATCAGATCACTGTGTGTGTGCGAAAACGTCCGCTTAATAAGAAGGAGCATGCGCGCAAGGAGATCGACGTGATCAGTGTGCCTAGCAAGGATCAGATGGTGGTGCACGAGCCCAAATCCAAGGTCGACCTTACCAAGTATCTCGAGAATCAGATCTTCAGATTCGATTACGCGTTTGACGAGACGTGTAACAACGAGATAGTCTACAAATACACAGCCAAGCCGCTGGTGCAGACAATCTTCGAAGGCGGCATGGCCACGTGCTTCGCATATGGGCAAACTGGTAGCGGCAAGACTCATACTATGGGCGGCGATTTCAACGGCAAAACGCAAGATTGCAAGAAAGGCATCTATGCTATGGTTGCCAAAGACGTATTCAAGTGTTTGAAATTAGCAAAATATCGGCCCTTGAATCTGGTTATTTCCGCTAGCTTCTTTGAGATTTACTCCGGCAAGGTATTTGATCTTTTGGCGGATAAAGAAAAGCTGAGAGTTTTGGAAGACGGCAAACAACAGGTTTGTTTTATACTGAAATACAAAGTTTGTATTAGCTTTGACCGAATGTAATCGTGCTATAAATTAACGTTTATATTATCATTTATTTGAATATTACATGATTTGTTTTCACATATTTGCTATTAATATATATAAAAATTACTTATGTTAACTTGCAACTTGTATTAGCAGATCCATTATGTATGATTGAGATTTATATTTGATATGAGATTATTATTTTCGTCTTATTTTTGTCTTAATATTTTTGTTTTCATTTTTCTTATAATATCCTGAAATTTTTTTCATACCTTCATATCAAAATAGGTGCAAATAGTGGGATTAACAGAAAAAGTCGTGGAAAATTGCGATGAGGTATTAAAGTTAATACAACACGGAAATAGCGCCAGAACGAGCGGTCAAACGAGTGCTAATTCCAACTCTTCGAGATCGCACGCAGTATTCCAAATAATAGCGCGTATGCCGGGTACACACAAGGTACACGGAAAGTTTTCGCTTATCGATCTTGCTGGTAATGAAAGAGGTGCTGACACGTCGTCCGCTAATAGGCAAACTCGTGAGTGTAAATGTTCAATTATGAGTAACGACCAAAATGAGTCTATCAGTTATGATTAATGATTAAATTTCCTTCAATTTTCTAAAATAATTAATGTTCTTATTAAAATTTTTAGGAATGGAAGGTGCTGAGATCAATAAATCTTTATTAGCGTTAAAAGAATGCATACGCGCGTTAAGCCGTAAGGGTACACATTTGCCTTTTAGAGCAAGCAAGCTGACTCAAGTATTAAGGGATAGTTTCATCGGTGAAAAATCAAAAACATGCATGGTAAATATAATCTGATAATTATATTATCGCGAAATATATGATTGAAGATAAGGAAATAGTTTTAAACAAGCATTATATATTTATAGATAGCGATGATTAGTCCTGGAATGAGTTCCTGCGAACATTCGCTAAATACATTAAGATATGCCGATCGAGTAAAGGAATTGGCGGCGACCGATCCTACAGAAGTAAAAGCCTCACCGACAGATGATGATCGAACTATGAAGATCGAGGAACAAGGAAACAACAGCGTACTATCGGATAGCGATCTAGCGCAGCTTCGATCTCTCAATGTAAGTGATTATATTTAATCATAAATCTTGAAAACATGTATTAAAATAATATGACATTGTTTAAATATTATTTATTATATATTATATTTATTATTTATATTTATTATATATTATTTATTACAATTTACTATTTATTATATAATTAAAGAACTTGAGCGAATGCGCGCGCGCACACACACACACATACAAACAGACAATGCAAACGAAATAATTTTCAATTTTACATGAATAATCTTTTTGTTCACAGGAAGGTGAACTGTCGCAAGATCTGTACACTTTTCACGAGGCAGTATCTGCTCTGCAGATGCTCGAAGAAGAGGTGTTAGATACGCACAAAGTGATCATGGATAATACAACTAAATTCCTTAATGACGCGCACAGTGTATTCAGCGCAACTCACGAAGTGGATTATGATCAAGAAGGTAAGATGAATTTGTTTGCATTTGCACGTTTACGTTTTTCTATTGGCTTTCCGTTACCGCTTTCGTTTCTTGTACTGCGTTACACTGATCGGTGTACTTTCGTTAAAAAGAATGAAATATTTACGGCGTGTATTCTGCTGTTTCATATTTGTTATCACGTATTTTTTTTTTTAATATATGAAAAAGATCAATTTTTGCGAACAAGATATTAACATCAATACGTTGAGTGAACATTATGTTCACTCAACATTATGTTGCGAAGATTTACGTGGTAAAAAATTTACAGGTAATGCCTCTGGCGATAAGTACTCTTAAGTGATGTTTTGATAATTGTGTTGTTTTCGTACTCTTTAAAATTATCCCGCTGCTAATTAGTAATAGAGAGCCTCAAAGTACGAAACGCTGTACTTGCCGGTATCATAGAGCATCGCATTTTATGACAGATTCGCGCAGTAAGACTAAGGCAAATTCCGTCACGTTAAACCGCCATCGGGGAGGCAGCAGTTCAATAAACACGATAACGAATAACGATGACACGGACAACTTATCGAACATTGACGCGCAGACAATTATAAATGCAGTGAGAGATATTCAGAGAGCGCAGAATCCTTCGAAGTCTTCCAGGCAGGATGAGATGGATTTGAGTTCATACGAGGACTTGAATGTTCTTCGCACGCCTAACAAACCTATTATGACGAAGAAAAGCGTGACGACCGGTCGAATTGCTAGAAAAAATTCAATCAATAAAAACCTAATGGAGCGTTCATTTCAAAGATCTAATCAAGGTCAACGGATTAAATGTTCCACCGGTGGTAAAACTCAGAAGTATCACTGGTCCGGTACATTCCGTAGCAAAAGAAATTTGTTTTCTAATGATAGATATCGTGACACACTTTATTCGCTTCAAGATAATAAACCGAATAAATTGGACAATCAGCTGACGAATTATAATTATTACAACGGAGATTTTGAGAAACAGAAACTCACGAGCAAGAAAGATATTTTCTACCCAAATTTCAAATTCGATTCGAGAAGTAATGGCGATTCATGGAGAGATGAATGGCTCGACGACACTATCGATTATCAGCCTACGGAATATTGCAATGAATCTATAGAGTTTGATCGTTTTAATGATTCTGATATTGAGCAGAATAATGGCGCGTTGCCGATATCATTTTCTGACATTAATATAAATTTAAGACGAATGACAGATTTAGATAATAAAAAGAAAATGTATAATCATTTACAAACGAACGATTCACGTACAAACGAACGAGACATTTCATATTCTCAATTTACCTATAATGATAGTAATATTAATAAAGAAGAATGCAGCAATCCTTACAATGTCAAGGAGTTGATTGATTCTTCGATAAATATCGAATTCAAAATCAGAAAAATGGATAATGATACCAAGAAGAAATCTGCTATTCGATCATGTTGTTATGAAGTGTGGTGTTTTCTAGTGTCTCTTTTGAAAAATGCCATTTTATTTTTATTGCTTCCAGCGGCATACATTATCTTTTTCATTTATGTACAAAAGAAAGAAGAGACAGAAAAAAAAATAGTAACATATAATTAACATTACATAAAACCGTTATATAAATCATCTATAAGTTTGAATGCGCGTTAATGTAATGATTCTAATCTTGTGTTATTATTATTATTATTATTTATATTTTATGTGATAAGATAGAACGATATATATTAAAAATTAGATTTTATGTCTTCCTTTTATAAATGTATTATTAGTGTGAAAAATTTGTGCCTAAAAAACTCTTGCTATTATATATAATTTTAATTCTAACGAAAAGACATTCCTTTAAGTTTGATATTCCTTGTGTTATTTGAGCTTTAACTGTATGCACGTTTGAAGTGTTTTGAATATTAATTCTGTGTGATTATTAAATATATTTTGATTTTGCAATCGCACTTTTTCTGCAAAAGTATAGCCTTTATCATGTATTATTTTTATTTTAAAGCAAAATTTTAAATAAATAATCGCGCGCGCTATACAATACATAATGTTATTTACATAAATGTATCGTAGGTATTTTTAACTACGTCATACCATTTTATCGATATTATTATATAAGAGAAAGGCGACTGACCACATATACATAATTCCAATTACATTTATAATTATAGCATAACAAATAAAATTTTCTTTGTTCCTCTATACACTTATTACATATTTTAAAAATCACGTTGCATTGTATACCTATAAGAGAAATTTGATGTAATACTAGAAAACCTTGCAGATTTGAGGCGGAAAAGAACAAAGTTTGAGTCACCCTACCTGAGGAGTTTCTCGTTGCGTAGACGTCTTATAGAGAGAAAACTATTTTCCGACGGTACGATAAATTCGATTAACAATTCTATAAAATAGTTTCGAAAAAGCAGCTTATTGCACCATACATATATATACTAATGTTACGCGTCACATTATTTTTTCATCGATATCACATGCATATTTCAATCAAATATATACATATCCCAAAAATAATATTTTTTAACTATGTTTGATATTTGAAATTTTATAGATGTAAATGATTGATTTTGCTAATGTAACGTCAGAAAAAAGATTTTCTTCTCATCTACTTTAAAAGTTTCCATTTCTATCGAGTTATATTATTATGAGATTTGATAAAGTATCAAAATCGTTCAATTATTAAGAGAATTGAATTATTTGATTTTTTTAAACTGTATCTATTGTTATAGACACAGTTTTTAAAATAATGTGTAATTGTGTGGAGCTAATCCTTCTGGTTCAAATCTCGTACAAATATATTAAAATAAATTATATCATATAAATATAAAAAAAAAAACAAAAAATAATATTCCCGTAATAATATTTTATAATATGGATATTTTCCTTAGAATACATGAACATATATCCTGGGAGGGTAAACTCAAAATTTTTTCTTTTCTTTTATTCTTGTTACATATTATTGTATAATATTTGATTAAATATTACATTGTTAAAAGAAAAACACATTATATTAAAAATTATTAAATATTTATATTAAATAATTCTGTACATATGTAATATAAAATATTATATCTTCGAAAGCGTGAACACATCGTATGTATGCAAATTCCTTGTTAATAAATGTTATTTTTGTGGATTTGATGGCTCGCGAGCTAATGATAGTGTCACGTTAAATAGTTACATGTAATCATATTGAGGACGCTATAAAAGAGTTACTCTAAATAAATCTTGCTTATGTTCAGCTTAAGCTTCAATTTTTGTGTAATAGTTATATTTAATTATACTTGTGTGTGTCTATACATGTATAAATAATGCTCATAACTGAATTCAAGCTTTTAAGATTGATTCATAAGCAATTAAAAAATAAGACATTAATATAAATGTATTCCCCACAAAACATTCCATTTAATTTACATAGCTATGCTTTAATAAAAAAATAGTGGCTTTTATAACTTGAGAGCGTGGTTAAAATAATTTAGATTTAAGTTTCTTTAAGTATCATACAATATCAAGTAATACAATATCAATCAATAATTTAGATTTAAGTTTCTTTAAGTATCACACAATACTTACAATATCATATTTTAAATTACTAACGATTATCATTTAATTAATATTATTCTCTTAATTTTAATGTAATTCCCCTATTTTTATGAGTTGTATTATCATGTATAAAATGTTTGTTTTCACTGAAATTTTCAAGATATATTAATTAAAATATTATATATAATTAAAAAACTGACACTTTACATTTTCAATTAAACAAAACTAAAATGATGGTAAAATTTGATGTGATAAACTACATGTTAATTAACTATGTTTTATGAAGTTAATGAACTGTAAAGTTAAATATTACAATATTAAAATAAAGCAGGGAGAATAGCTCTCCGTCCTTCATATTTATAATACACATCATCTCTATGTATCTTTGATATAAATCTTAATTATGCTTAAGCCGATGTGTCTAATCATGCTGTTGGGTGCTCTGACGGGTGTGCGTGTTATCTGTTGCAGCATATGTCCAAAAATGGGAGCAGTTGCTAATACAGCAACGTGACATCCTCAATGCCGCGCTCGATCAAGTCAGCCAATTTCGCGGGCAGCTCTTACAGGAGGAACAAATCAGTCAGAAGATGACCCGAACGCGCAACGTTACAACGCGGTACAATTAAGAATGATATTTTAACGATTGCGAATCGAAAAAAAGACACAAAACGTAATTATTTCTCTCTCTCTCTCATCGATGAGAAAAGCCCGCTTCTTATGTGTGTATTGATCTTTATAATTACAAGCGCGCGAAAAGCAAGTATACATGACACTAGTGCGACACATGAACGCAAAATGTAATAAAACTCCATCTTGCCTTCGAAATTGCTACGAAAAGTATGTCGATGAGAAAGCAAGGAGCTCGACTCGTATAAAACTCACCCTAGCGATCCTGTATTATATAACGATTCTTCTCGAATGATTCTTTAAGCGAAACGACAGAATCCCACAAAGAGGATATATAAATAAAGAAATAAAATTGAAGTATGCATAATAAAATAATAAAAATAATTCTTTAAGAATTCGCAAAAAAAAAGAAATCAAATTTTTGTTTTTTACGTATTGGATTTGTTCGTCGCGTCCCTGCGAGAATTCACGGAGAATTTTTAGTCGGGATTTTTTTTTTGTTTCTTTTAGTTTGAGAACGTAGAAAAATTTTGAGTGATCGCGTGGAATCGTTCGTAAAGATACCCTAAATATATACAATTTTTTTATTTAGCTTAGTAAACAAAGTTTTACCAGTATGTAATTACATGTTTCTAAAACGAATTCTTACGCGTTTTACACATTTTTGGGCCGCACTAAGATTACCGTAGAAATTTTAAGCCGTCGATACGTACTCGTGTACACAATTCGTCCGTTTTCGAAATGCAAAGTACCATCGCGAATAATAATGCGTCACCTATGAAATCAGATCAATACACAGTTTTAGATTCAGAATGCTAGGTGTATTATTACGAGGGACCTAGTATTGGATAATATTGGACGAGGAAAAGCCTTAGTATGCTGAGGAGGAATGAAAAAAAATATATATATATCATAGTGATACTTTGTACACTTATCCACATACGCATATACACACATACATACACGAGCGTAGTTATCGACGACATTCGTAAACCAAATAACGACTGATTTCGAAAAAGATGTAACTCTTAGCTCATAAGAAATTGCACAGCGCGGCGTTCATCCAAGTTCGGATTTAAGTTTTTTAGTATTAATATCGTCGACGGCACATTAAACGGTCCTCTTTTTTTTCTTACATTATTAAAAGTATGAGATTAAAATCTTCATTTGATTTGTCAACGCATACTCTTGTTTTTTTCCTCACTTTATTGAATCACACATGATTCTAACATGCGTGTGTAGCTTTACTACGAGTGCGTCTAATCGAATATCATTAATTTTTATCACGCTTTATTGAGATAAAGTTGATAAATTTCATATTCTATTGATATATCGCTTTCTTTTAACAGAAATTGCTTCATAAAATATAAAGTCATAAATTTTTGTCTCTCTCTGCTATTTCGTTTTCTGATTTTTACATTCTCTCAAATGCATTACAATTAATGGTGATACAATATAATATTATTATATTTCAAATGAAATTATATATAAAGATTGAATTGATTATATAAAGGTTAAAAATATAGTTTTTTACATATATTACATGTATAAATCAAGCTACTATTCACAAAATAAGTTTCAGCATCTATGAAGAAAGAAAATAAATTTTTAAAATATTTTATTAATGATTATATCTTTCGGTGTGTGTTTATAATTCAATGTACATATTTAACATACCACTAATTGAATTAAGGTTCAATGGCTAGTGTAATTGCAAATTGGTAAAAATATTGTATCACCAAGGTAATTGTAAAAAAATATGCTTGCTACAGTCTCATTTTAGACAATAGAAAATTAAAGAAAAATAATATATTGCACATCATAATTACTTCTCTTGAAAATTTCATTCTAAGTGTCCATTTTCCTATGTATACATAAAATTCTCATGCGACAGAACGATCATGTGTACGCCCAATTTTGTAAACGTATAAAATTATTCTGATCATAATTGCGAAAATGTTACTCGAAATCTCTATCGAAGCTTAAAGATAGATGAAAAAAATAACATTAACACGGAGATAGGAGTAATAGAGTATTCCTGTGTTGATAACAAGATACGATTTATATATAAAAATAAAATATAGCGCGAAGAGAGTAATATAAAAAATTGTTTGAAATTATTGTTAAATTAACGAGATAATTATATTTTCCACTGACGGCATTTTTTTCTAATCTTTATTGATAGTATTATGTAATCTGAAGCTGTGACTCTCTCCGTATTAATATCATGCTTTATTGATTGAAAAATTTCACATTTTTTCTTACGTATTCGATACTACGCTTCTCAACGATGATTGTTAAATATATCGTCTTAATAAACCTTAAACAATCGATGCAGTTCATGACTGCTGTAACTCAGGCATATATCAGTAGTTCCATATATATAAATTTTGTTAGCTTTTTTCATGAAAAAAATCGCGTTTTATCATCTCGTGCGAGTGCGCGCGCGCAAAAACAAATATTTTTTAACACAAGAATAGTGATAGAGAGACGAAGCTTAATATATCTAAAAGATGTTAATATACTTCTTATTTTTTTATAATCTAATAATTTATGCGGGAGGAGAGTAAATCAAACACGTATCCCTACACTGTCTTTCCTCCGCCTTTCCATTGTATGTCGTACTTAATCGATTTCCAAACTATTCTAATTCGATGTGCACAGAAAGATTTTGGATACGTATGAGAGATTTCACGTTGTTGCTTTATGAATGAAATAAATCAAATTAAAAAATGGATATTATAATACGCTACGCTCCTCATCCTGATCAGCGTATTCCAATAAAATTGAAAAAAGAATAGTACACGCGAGTAGAGAAATTAATTTTATGATTGTTTATAGAGAATTGTGTTATTGTAAGTATATTTTCAGATTTTTAAACAATCTCTTTCCGTTTGTAATATTTAATTTTTCCATTTACAATCGTTATAGATAATTAAAATTTTAGATTTTTTTCAATAAGATTTTATCGTCATATTATTTCAATGACGTGATGTCTCATCGACGAAGGGATCCAGGATGGAGAACGGATCGTCAAATGCGTAATTATGAAACGAATACAATCATGATATTTAATCGCACATAGACATACATAGGTAGGCATTTTATTTCGTACTTGATAGAGCTGCACAAGACAATAATTACCAGAAATGCATGTATAGGTGAAGGCGTGTAAACGAGACCGACGAGTAACTTTATATATCGAACGGTATATATATATAATACATACATACAGCTGATCACGAAGAATTTATGCTAAAATGTTGTCGGACACATCTCATGGGCACATTTTCAGCCAAACATTAAAAATCTCGCTTAGCAATAATGATGACTTCTCAAGCAATGATGACAAATATCTTCTAATACACGAAATGCTCGATGTGATTAATGCTGGAACGTATACGCATTCGACAGTTCAATATTTTCCTTGATTAAGGAGCAGACTTTATATATGTGTAATCTGGGCTAATCATTTACATTAGTTTGTCGAATTCCTATAACATTACATTTAACATAAATATTTTTTTCTATCATTTCTTTCACTCTATATTATGTATATACGATTAAAAAATACCGTGCTCTGAACATAAAATGTCTTTTTTTTACGCTGAAGAATGCTAAAAAAACCGAAATAAAATATATTACACGCTGTACTTGGCAGCTAATGTGTATTAACTGTATAGTCTTGCGATAACTATGAAACAAACTCATTCTCTCGCAGAGGAGGTGGTCTGTACAGATAGAGGAAGCTCGTGTGTCTACGTCGTCGCTGATAGTTATGTGAGCACGATATAGCCACATGAGCATACCGAGAAATCGGGGGAAAAAATCCGCATTTATCTTCTCTAACGGTATATAACATGGAATGGATTCTCTCTCTTCGAAAACGTATTTTCATTACACATATAACTAATGATACATATATATGTACATATCCAGATAGCCAACTGTCTATGAGGTTGCTGTCATATTGCCAACAATTGTATTATTGTTGGCAACGTGACAGCAATATGATTAATCAATATGATTAATCACGCTTGATTACCTGAATACATGCATATACATGTATGTATATATAGCTGACGTGTTGGAATATCGCGAGCCCGTTTTCAAATCGCTCCTTTGCATTTCTATCGCTCATCTATTTATTCTTCACGGCCTTTACATTAATAGACTTTTCTATAAAACGAACCGAAGAGCTTCTATGTCAGAAATGATGAACGAATTTCTAAAGTATTCTGTGACATGCAAATGGTTTACAATACACAACTGTTAATAGATTAATCAAAAAATATATATTCGTTACATTAATTATCAGGTGTAATATAAATGCATTCATGTTTAAAATGACAAGTAGCATTGAGTGTTAATTTATTTGGTTGCAATATATATTGCAAAAGTGTTCGATTCTTTTCGTACTTTAATGTTTCCAAACACGGAATTTTTAAAGTAATCTTCAACTTTTTTTTGAAAATTTGAATTGCATAAATATATCGAGTGCAATCACTAGGCAAATGAAATCGGTATCAGGCAACTACATTTGATATTAACGTGTAAATATTATATGCTATAATGTGACGCTACAGTGCAAATATACAGAATTATACATTTATTTTACAAGAATGGACATAGTCGAGGGCATTTTTTATACAATTGTTTTCTTTTCGAATGAGAAAATGGTTTGTGCATTTTCGGATACAACACACGCATTCAATGTCTCTTGCTATTTTACAATACATATTTCCAAAATTGCATACGTTTCATATTTTACACAACTACATAATATAAAAGGCATCCAAGGCACAAACTTGGGCGAGACGCAAAAAAAAAAATACAGTGTTCTATCAATTTTCGAAAGCGTTAAGTTTGAAGTCGAATTTTCGTAGACTTTGAAGAAATGATGTTTCCTTTCGAAGATTAGGATTGGAAAGATTCAAGCGAGGTTGCTTTGTAAACGGGCTTTGCGATTTTTCAGTTTAGCAAGAAAACGAAGACTGGTGAGAGATACAAGCTGTAAATCTAATGTTGCATGTGAGAAACTATTTACATATGTCTTACAATAATGCACATCATGCTCACTTCAAACTCATGATGGAGCTCAATGTGCTCGTAAAAGATCTCGTAACTCCATTCTAATCAGTTAGCCATTCGATTTCGTTTATGCAAATTATGATGCAGCATTGTCGCTATAAGAGATCTCTAATTCATTTGTATATATCGATGAGAATTTCAGACATATTGGATCATATTCTGCAGGAAGTAATTAATTCTGAAATAAATTTACAACGGTTTTTTTTTGCATATATATGATATCTTTTTTTTCTACTTATTTCATCTTCTGATACAGGATATCTATTTCCTGATCAATTTCTTCGTGCAAAAGTCGATCCAATTAATTATCATTATATCAAACAATAAATTGCCACAGTTCGAACGCGCTGAAAATGTATTTTACATTTTATCTCTTTTTTTTCTATAGTCATTGATTATTGTCTCCATCGCTTGTACAATTGTACCATATTATGCAATACGGAATAAAGCAGCATTTCGTTGAACATTAATGTTTGTACCAAACAGTAGTTCTATTCAACTTGAAATTTAATCTTTCCTCATCACACGCACGTCACACATATTTAACATAATGCAATTGTAAGTTACAACATTTTGTCATACTTTCCTTATCACTTAATCATTAATCAGGCAAATATCTTATTTCTTAGTACTTCCTTTTGTTTATCACGGAATTGTAATTAGGCAAGTATTTTTATTCTCTCTCGTACTTTCTTTTGTTCATCATCACCGAATTGTAAATTTGCCAAATCGAATAGCAAAGAATCACAGCTAGGCACATATCGGCAAACAAGTGACAGCAAACGGCAGTGAAAAAAGGTAGTATTGTCTATGTAGGCACTGTTAATATCTGACGGCTAACATATTCAAAGGCATCGATGTATTTTCGAAATACTTGATTTGTGATTACTTTGGGAACGTGATTAGAAAGAATTGTATTTCTTTGACAAAATATCACAGTGCATAAATTATAAATGTATTATGCGAATATATACCGTTCTTTTTGGCACCTTTTGCAGCATATAAAAGTAACAAACAAAGTAATATCAAGAGCAACTCCAATTTTTGTAAAAATAACTTCTCATCCAGTAATGTATAAACTTACTAACAGATGACTTCTTCATTAAACATACACTTGTACACACATACAAGTATATACGATTCTCCCATATAGAATTTGTACAGCACATAAAATTTCATATATTTATGACACATAAAACTTACCTAAATGTGTAATGTGTTTTTAGAAATTGTAATATATGGAAAGCGTTGAATCATATGGTACATGATGCGATAATCGAGAAGAGTACAATGCAATGTAATCTATACAGAGATGGAGCAAGGCCATGAATCATAAATCTCTTTCTATAAATTAATGTATTCGACGTTTCAATATATCATTGGACGCAGTTAACTTCCAACAGTCAACGTGAGATCAACGTCCAACGTCTTACATTGAAATACAGATCGCATTGTGTTTCAATAAAAGACTGCTATATCATCAATCGTTTTAGCGAAAAATTTGAATAGATCTACTTAGAGATGTAAAAATATTTTTAAGACACACACATAACAGATATAATCATTACTATTGATCGACAGAGACTATTTTTTTTTCGTTCCCTTTCCATAATTCGGAGAATTTATTTTCTTTGTTAAGCAGCTGTAATCTTATGTTATATGTATATCTTTTATCATCACAATAAATTTTAAAATCGCCTAGAAAAAGATTTGTGGCATAACACTTGACAAATACCTTCACACACACAATAAGTCTCCATATAAAATAAAGTATTACGACTGATGAATAGATTTGAAAAATATTTCTTTTTTTTTTACACATATATATCATTATACTTCTATAATTCTTTTCCTATATAACAGCCAAAGAGTTTTATAGCATCTAAATGTATACATTACGCGATCACGATAGCTTCCAGAGATCACTGTTAAATATTCTTATTTTTTTATGTAACATTTCTCGTAATTATTTATATTTCTTTCAAACATATTTTTATTTCAGCATCGTCTCTTATTTTTAAAAGTTTAATATTGGTATAACATAAAGTAACTTACAGCTGTAATTGTTGTCAAACATGTCTCTGTGCATGGTCTTCACAATTCTCACAATTATGGCAATTATGGTCAATATCCTTAAACTCTTAAAAGTGCATCGAGACTAATGTCCTTTTCTTATAATGAACATTTTGTTGTAGGATGTGTATATTATTTATGACACTGAACTTATGGCGTTATGGGGCGGACCCATTTGTGTTAACACTTTATCCAACCATTGCAAAGGTCCATGTAAATGTGCTTCGATCCAGCAAGGAGTTGATGTAACATCTTGTCTATGATATTCAGCACCCCATCCTTTTACAAATGACATTCTGTGAATAAAAAAGTTTTTATTTACCATACAGTTATATATATTATTCTTATTAATTATCTGTGCATTAAATTATAATGAATTACCTAATTGTACACATCTTTGTTAACTCATAGACAGCTTCAAAACCATGATTTACACTTTGCGACAAAAGCTGAGCGAATTCCTGATTATTGAATATCTTCAACGAACATCCTGGTGGAATTTTACAAACTGTACTAGGATGAAATCCATGATGGTGATTACAATTTCTAGATTGTACAAATATTGCCGAATCAGACAGACATTCGGCATAAACTTCGCCGCCAACATAGTACAAATGCACTCCTTTGCCTATGTGTCGCCTTGTATTTTCTATTGTGGAATTTCGATTTACATTGGATAGTTGTCCAAGACAAAAACGATCAGAGTTATTGCTCGGATTTGTAAAACCGTCAATAACTACTGAGTGCGTTTGACAATGAAATACCTCGCCCACTCGACAATTTAACTCGTAGTATGCGATCGAAGCCCAGTAGGGTGGTTCTTGATAACATACAGGTGTAGCTGATTCGATGGGTGCGCTCGTGTCCATTGGAACCGAATCTGACGACGAAGTTTGTCCGGTCTGCGAGCCATCTTCTGGCGGAGAATATGCTGGCGGTGGCGTCTCTGGTAACCCATTAGTACCGTACGGACTCTGGGGATTCGGCAAAGTTGCGCTCCCTGGGCTTGGCACAGAACCGACAGAGGACATGGGTGACGTCGGATTGACACCACCTGTGGAGCTAGCGTTGAAACCGCTGGATGAGTAGGACACATTGTGCGGCATGCTTGGATCGGCCAATTGTTGAAAAGGCAACAAAGAATGACCAGGAGCATATTCTGAGTGTCTAGGAACCAATACCGGCGGCAGCACTGGGCTCTCCACTCTTTTATAGTGATAGGGATTAATACAAACTTCCTTCTGCTTGGCAGAGAATGGATATTGACATAGTTCCAATGGTTTTAGTTCATGATGCGATTGGAGATCCGGCCATCGCCAGACTCTGCAATATATCACATGTGGCAAGCCTTTGCGATGGGAAACTTGTAGTCTACCATCTAAGCTTCGAGGAATCGTTACGCATTTACTTGGTGTGCCAGGACAGCTCAATGCCCGCTCCAATTCTTCGATTGCTCCTTTACGCTTCTTCAATTTTTTCACCAATGAGTCGACCGCTTTCTCCGCCCATTTTTCTTCTTCATCTCCTTGTTTCCAGCCAAGCAATTTTTTCACAGCGGGACTGGTGAACGAAAACAAACTATTCAACGAAGACATAGGTCCAGAACTTGAAGTTCCTTCTTCATCATCCATATTCGAAAGGTAATGTATTAATTAAAAGCGATATCTATGCATAATATTTTTGTCCACATCTATAAGAAATAAATCTTCTTTGTCAGCAATCTGGAATCATACAAATGTTCCAATTTCTTAGTAAAACTTTGAGAAAAAAAATGAAAGAATTTTTTTCTACTTTGTAAAATCATTCTCTCTCGTATAAATACTTATTGCAGCTATTAATTCTTAAATATTTTCTTCTTTTATATAATCATATACTTGAAATTCTAACAAAATTTACTTTTCAAAATGTTTGAAACATTAGATTTGGGAGAAAAAATGTCCTTATTCTACTCGTATTTTACTTTAATTACTTTTTAAAATTTTTCTCCAAGTTGAAATTTCAGAAAACAAAAAGTTTTTCTCTATTGTATACAGCAACAATACGCGACAAAGCGCGAATTCGAGCGCATCGTCTGCCGCCAATCCGGATTTTTGTCATGCTATTTTTACAAGAATATGTGATATTTTGGCATGTCTCCTCCCACTGCTACGTCAATTCACTAACAAAGAGAACAAAATCCCATAAATATTGGAAACTTTTTTTTTCAAACGGAGACACACATACACGCATATGGCGAGATTTTAAATGGAAAATTCGCTCGCGCGCGTACAATATTTAGAAATTACAAGAATCAATTATATCGCAAATGTAACAAAATTCACGACGATAAAACATTGTAAATTTGAATATACGAAAAGTACATCTTATTCATCGACTTTAAGAAGCCACGAAGAAGCAGTCACACTATTTTCAAACATTTCATACTTTATTATATTAATTCCGCAACACTCGTTAAGCGACTCGTTTCTCCGTAAATATTCGATAGTAAGGTAAATGAAATAAATCTTCAACGCAAACATACATACATGCGTATACACGCGCACGGACAAGGTATTCCACCGAGTGTAACATCGTGCGTGAGGTTAATTATGTTACGGGGCGAGCACTCTTGTCGAAGAGATCGCCGAGCGGCAGGCTACCGCGGTAAAAAACTGACGCACCGGAAGCGCGCGCACACGCACGCACACAAAAACGGACACACGTACACATACATGCACCGGAGATTACGCTCTGCCTCTCCGCGAATCGGTACGCTACGCGAAAGTACCGCGCTCTCGTTCGGATATTTCTTCACTTACGCGCTGCTCCTCGGCAACTCGGCATTGTTTTTACCACCGTCTCCCACTCCGGCCACGCTCTATCGTCCTCGACGCCACGCTCTCGCCATTACGATCTTTCGCCCAGCGCAAAAAGCGCCCGTGGGGTTATCGATTGCGCGCTTCGACTGCTGGGCGGCGCGGGGTGCCCGATGGCGATTCCGCGAAGAGCGACGACGCGATTATTATCTGGGGCCGCGAATCAATCTCTCGATTGAGCGATCCCTCGTGTCTCTCGGACGTCCCGCTGTCATCTCTCGCGCTCGAGCGACGAGGAGATTGACCGACAACGTAAAGGGACGGGAAGACGCGAGCGGGTATTATCGTCTCCGTACACTTGGTTAACGTCCCGTCTCGCTTCCGCAAATGCGCGATCGACTCGTCGGTTACGCGAACGTTGGTACTCGGGTAAACATCCTCTCCGCGCGACGACACTACGGCGAGTGTTTACTTGGCGGATTGCGTCGAGCGATGCCGTTTATAACGGATTTTCAGCGATGCGAGGCTGACGTTTCATTCGCCGAGGCGCCGAGTCTACCGGACGTGCCGATTGGTTGGCGAATAGAGGATTTCTAGGATTTCCATGGTTTCTTATAATGTCAGCCAATCGGTATGTCGGATGAATTTGGCATGCGACAAATTTAATAGCGCCCTGGGTCACTAGGAGTTCCCAGAAATGCCGCCTTTCGGTTGCCATGTCCACCGATTTTTGCTCCAATTGGAATAAATCGCATTTGATATGAGGGATTTGAAGAGGGTAAGGATGAATATTACATCTATTCTTTTGATTTTAGAAAGAAGCTTCTTTGCTTTTATCAGTTTGAAAAGGATCGATGTAGATTTCTAAGTCAAAGTTAAAACTACTGTAAATAAATTTAATAAATACAAATGTAAATCTTTCTTCACTAATAATATAATGGTATAGTATCTTTTGAACACTGCAACACTTTATGAACCTTTCACTGGTTTTTTTAAGAATAATATATATGGAAATTATAATATAATTTGGATTATATATAATTATACAATTTAATCTTATTAATTTTATCATTTAAAGCATGTGCTTTGTATTATTTTATTGCATGATTAATACGCAGCAAATTTATCTTTGTTTTAAATCAATGTTAATATACATGTTAATCGATGTTAATATAAAATTAATATACACAATTATATAATTTATATATTCTATTACATTATATATATACATTTCAAATATATCTTATTTCAAATATATCATAAATTAATTTATATATATATACATTTCAAATATATGATAAATTAATTCATATTTTGTACAACACAATGGAAGATTCATATTTACATGGATATACAATAAAATAAATTGGCAGCTTTTAAATAGCACAATCGCACACGCACAAACACACATACACACTCACATACATACATTTATTTTCATAAATAATTGTTCATTAATAAGGGCGATATGCTTTAGCTCTGTAATCTTGTTTGTGAATGGATTTGATTCTAACAATTATATCAGATCTTTATGTAAATGTTCGATCTTTGAATTATTCGAGTTTAAAAATTAAATTATTAATAAATAATGATATAGATACAAATCACATTTTAACGTTCTTTGGTCTCAAAAATATTTCAAATTTTGACTTAATATATTTTAGTTCTTAATCATTTTCCAATATTTCATTGCTCTCAGCATCTAAAATAAATGTATTATGTCTTTTTGTAAATAGAGTCTCTTGGCTCAGAGCAGGAACTTGTTGAGAATATGTGGTAGTTGCCCATAGAAACAAATCCAATGTCTGCTCTGTACATTCTGCTATAAATCTTATAAATGGTCTCACATCTCCAGTATTTGCTAATTGTAAATTTTCATAATATTTATGACGATGTTGTTTATGAATGATTACAGGTGGATATCCAGCTTGCATAAGAATCATGTTCATGAGCAATCGAGACGTTCTACCATTTCCGTCAGCAAACGGATGTATATGTACCAATTTATAGTGCGCGAGAGCTGCATATCTATGAAACAAATTTTCCATATTAAAACTCTGAACAAAATCTTAGATAAAAATAAATATTTCAAAATGTGAAATGAAAGATCTGCTTACCTTACTGGATGCATTCTGATGGCTTGTTCACTATTTAACCATAATGCAAATTCCTGCATTAAATAATGTATATCATCTGGACCTGGAGGTATATGGCCACCAACATACACTTGAGTCCTTCGAAATTCACCACCTTCGACAGGATCTACATGCCCTAGTACGCGCCTATGTATCTCTAATATATCTTTTATAGAAATGGACCCTACCCTGAAATATTTAGATAGAATAAATATTAGAACATTTACATATGATAAATATTAGAATAGAAACAAGAAGGCTTTAGATTTTTTTCATAAAATTATTAGAAACTTACCTATTGACCAAGGTCGCATTGATATATTTCATGGCGGCATCTAATCCGAGAATTTCATTATGTTCATCGATACTCTTTCCACTGACTGCAATGCGTGTCTCGACTATGGCTCTTGTCTGTTCCAGATTCATAGTGTTTCCTTCAATTCCAACTGTATGATAAATATGCTGAAAGTAAGCCTCCTTCTTAGCACGTATTAATGCGACATTGTTATCGGGTATCATTGATAATGCATTCCTCTTGTCGTCAATACGTCTAAGCGTGATTCTGTCGAGTTCCTCGACTACGCGAGCTGTCCTTTGACTGTTCATCAAAGCACCTTCATGATTTGGTTTGTAAGTCAAAGCACGTACATAAAACTCATTAGCTTTAATTATATTGTTCTGAGTATGCTCTAAAAACTCTCCATAATGATTCAAAATATCTGGATGACAAGGCGCTAATGCCACAGCATGTTGAAACAATTTTATAGCTTTATTTTTCTTTCCAGATAATTTCATCTCCAATGCTAAATGCAAAGATGTCAGGGCCTCTGCTGTCAACGCCGCAATGTTCTGAACTTGCACTTTATCGAGTTCAGTGTTACCCAATGCGGAGGTAAGTTTGCTGTCATCGTAGACATTCAAAATATTTTCTGAGGGAAGCGGTATAAACACATGACGGAATTCATGCTCTGAAAAACAGAATCGAAACCATCATCAACTATCAACTCTCAAAATTCTTATTACAAAAAATATAAATATCGCAATAAATTTTTATCTCACACGTGGCAGACATGATTATAAAAGTAGATACGTTGATCAACTTCTTGTGCTCACCTTCTTGACTGATGGATAAGTTGCGTAGATATTGTGTCAATAATGCGGCGATGACAGCCACCGCGACTCCAGAAATAAAGACAAAGGTGACGACGAGACGGTTCGGTGGCATACCGTCCGTGGCATCCCTGCGTTTAGCGTTCACGTTAGCGGCTTTTGCATAGTGTACACATATGCACTGGTACAAGTATGTAAGTGCCGGTAACATCTTTCCTCGCGGCGAGTCTTAACAAGTTTATATCTAATAACGAACCGTGACATGCTTGACGATCGTCTTGATTAAGTGACGCAACGCGTTGCGCTCATATCTGTCATGAGCAACAACTCGATGTATCCATGTGGTGTATTCTGATTGGTCGATAATATCGCCGTTTGAATCGCGCGCGCTCGATTCGTTCCTTCGTTTCGTCATTACGTCATTCCGCAATTCCATCAGTCCTCTTCCGTATTTTTGCCTCCTCGCGTCTCTTCGCGTCTCCCGCGGATATTGTAATGTTGTAACAACTTTCGACGCTTATTGATATACAAAGTATTTCCTAAGTGACGTCTAAAATTCCAGGAGATCTAAAATTCCTTGAACGACTTTAGAAAAGAAGCTTTTGAACATGAGAACAAGTTTCGAAATACTTTCCTGCAAAGTTATATGTACAACATATATGCAACTCATAAGCGACAAGTTCATGGTAAACACTTTGCAAATAATATTTAACAGTTATGCTTTCATTTTTCTACGAATACGATCGATTAATTTTATTTCAGTTATTCTGACAGTTGTTCTTCCTCCCCTCCTGCTATTCCAGTCTGAAAATCAGTTTTCCAGATTTTGGATCAGGATCGCGCCTGTTTAACGTCTTTTTTCAAAATGTGTAAGTATACTTGCTGAATCCAAAATACATTAACTATACGACTGTATAATCTAACACACTGAAATTTGTATTTGTTTTCTTACCATTCGAACGTAAAGCGACGAATGAGTGTTGATATATTTTCAATTAAAATCGCAATTTATATCGATTATTACATAAATACTAATCACATATTGTGAGTACATTTGAAATTTTATATGCACCAATGTTATTTATTGGGGTTTATTAGTTGTACGTACAGATTATTCTATTTGTTATAAACAAGAAATGAGACATGAAAAATAACGCGGAATAACTTGTTAATTTTGTTCTGATATGAAATAATCGAGAGATTTCTTAAGTAATAAGAGTCATCCGAGTGATTTAATGAAATTAATGAAATTAATCTTCAGTTTCAAAATAGACGGTGTATATTTATACAATAATAATATTCGTTAAGAGAAAATAAAAACGTCGTTATTATATCTTCTCAAAAATATATCAAAAATATTTCACACATTCTTTCTTGTTCTCGCACTTACAGTTCGATATCGCCATGGTGGAGTTAGTATTTTTTTATGAAAGCTGTCCTGAAAAATATTGCATAAATTAAAAATATCACATAAATTAAAAACTGAATATTGATCAAGCTAGATATACGATTGCTTCATCTCAGTGTTATTTTTCCAATAAAAATGTATTAGTTATAGAAAAAATTTTATATATTTTCAATCTTTATTTTTTATATATTTTTTGTTGAAAAATGTAAATTATTACTTTGTTTCGCGAAGTAGGCATACTTTCGCTGCTAACACGCGAAAAAGTTTGCAAGATCGAAGGATTAGGGATTATTTCATAATTTACTTTATAATTTCTAGAGAAATCTTCGTTCTTTCCCATTCTCTTGGGATTGATATAGGACATAGAATTTTTCGATTTTTGATATGTTTCGTTTCTATTTATAATCGATATAACAATTATTTGTCTTTATTAATTCTTTATTATATAATAATAATGCTTTTAGCTTTCATTCATGAAATACCTATATAATCGTCGATCTGAAATTCTATCATCTTGACTTTTTGGAATTTGCAGTGTATGATATTGCTGGGATGATAAGGATGAATTAGTGGTAGATGTCTTGTGCTGAATTTTCTAAAGAAACAAAAAATTAACAATTGTCTAAGTGATATACTACATGCTTATTGTGAACGTAATAATTAGAATAAAAAGGATAAGGTAAAGGGAAGTTTACGGAATGTCTCCGTTCCTCGAAAGAGCGATTTCCGTTTCCGGAGCGGCATCGCCAGTTCCATGTCGTGGAACCGTGTAATGAGGATTGTTTGACCGACCGTTCTTGCACCTGGTCGCGTTGCATAACAATTATGCGATCAGCATTGTCAGAATTTTTGAATGTGCCATTTCGATAATTGTCCTTTGCCGTTCTATGTAGTAAAAAAATATCTGGATAATTACGTATAATTATTCTATTGTATAATAATATTTCTGGATAATTATGTTACTTATATATAATTATCAACTGAGATAAAATGTCAGTTTATATTTCATTTAAACATTCCGTATAGTTAGCACTAATATATTATTTTTAATATACGAAAGCAATTATTTCTTTATAGGAGGAATTTATACGGAAAATAATATTTCTTTTGTAGAAGGAATTGTTTTTACATTTTACAAGCAATGTAGTATGCAGTATATCTCAATTTTTTTATTATTTTAAACGTTGCATTATTATAACGAAATAAATATTATTATTAATAATGAAATAAATAAGTCTATTCATGTTATAAAGAATTCATAAATAAGATAAATATTTGATTTTTATTTTTATTTAAAAAAAAATACTCTGCTTATATTATTATAAAATATTTTTTAAAGTATATATTTTTTAAGGATTTGAATTTGAAAAATTTAATTGTTTGAAAAATTTTAATTATGTTTTATGCAATTATATCACCTGATAGTCATGGTCGGCGATGATACATTTTCAATTCGATATGTGGAATTTCGAAGAAGTCGTGGTGTTAACTGGTAAGCAGAAGTTGTTATTTGGTGCAATTTATGTGCTCTATTAAGATTAAAAGATATACGTCAGGAGATATAAATAATTATATATAACAATACTTTATTATAAAATAAACTTCACTTCGTTTGATATTCCTCTTACTTGATATTATATATGCCCCCGATTTCCCCGTATTTTCGTCTTATTAATTCAGCCTCGACTGCAGTCACGTTTATTCGCATTGCCGTCGCAATCTCGTTTACTATCTACAATAATCAGCAATCATCTTGCATAAGTATTTCGTATAGCGTCACTAATTGGTGCATATTTTAAAGTCGATAAAAAAAATTGCAAAATATGCGGTGATAAGATGGAAAATTCAGTGCATAATATTGCTATAATAGTAGGAGGCACAAGAAAGGCATTTAATAAAGAAATATGGTATACATAGACTTAAACTAAAATCTAAAAATCTAAAAATGTGCCGTATTATGGGTAATAGAAGTATTTTAAGAAAATTGGATTAAAAGACCTAGAAGTATGCGATTTAAAAAAAAACATAAAATATTATAATATGTGGAAGAAAATATAATTATAAAAATAGATATTAAAGATAAAATTGTATTTATAGAGAGATAATATCACGTATTTTTTATATATATGTTTTTTTTCAAATTTTTTCCACAATTATTGTTTATGGAGTATATATTACCGCGAGATGATCGGAAACGCTCAAGTCGTCTTCAAAATAAAAATTGCTCTTCGACGACGCGAGGATCCATGGATGATCAAGGATCTCTCGAATAGTGATTCTTTCGCGAGCTGATGGAACGAGCAAGCGGTTTATCAAGTTCCTGCACTCGATCGATGTTTGACACATGGCTTTTTCTTGAATTGACGTCAAGCCTCTGTTGATCTGGATCATCAGTCTCCGTCGACGCTCTTCCGACGATGTCCATTCGTCGCGGGGACACAAAAACGGAAGTCGACCAATTGTCATTCCGTACAAAACGACTCCTCTGTTTATCATATTGTTACATAATATTATAATATTATATAACAATATGTTACATAATATTATAATATTATGTAACAATATGATATTTAAACATTGAGATACAATTTAGTACTGTATAATTGAAATACAAAATGGTCCAAGCGCATTTTTTAATGTGAATTACGCGTGTGACATTTTTATGAATTGTTTAAAGAAAAATATCTTTAAAAAACTCTTTTAAAAATAAGACTTGTGAATATTTATATCTCGCATATACAATATCTATCTATATTTACAGGCTCCATAAATCTACTTCCGGTCCATATCGTTTACCCACGACAAAGAGTTCGGGAGCAGCATACTCCGGGGATCCGCAATGCGTTCTTAGAGGATCGTTGCTGGCATAAATGTTGCTGAGACCGAAATCTAAGATTGCAGAAGACATCGATCGGTGAGTGCTTTTTACGAAAAATATTTTATAATCTTTAATTACTATATAAAAATTAGATTGCGAAACTATTATATTATATATCAAGCCAAATATGCCAATAGAAATCACGGTAATATATAATAAATAGGTAGTAATAAATTGAAAAGTCAAACGCGCTATTATTCCTTTTATATAAGTAGAAAAAAACAAAATTACAAAGCACTTCGCATTCTATTCGATTCTTTTGTAAAATATCTGCGTAGAGATCTGATTCGCCATAGCAGTCAAAGATCATTAAAAATAACGGGCATCATGTTTCAGCATAATTATATAAATTATAGCCAATTTTATCGCAAGTGCATTTTTTTATGCGAATTTTTTGCCGAGCATAAGCAGATCTGATTTCACGCTCGAAAATCAAGGGTCACGCGAGCGGAAACATTATAGTCGCGATTTTCGCGGTACACGTTAATCTATGCAATTCGATCGATATTTGCTACAATACTGCGATATATAACGTTAGTCCCGCGTAATATCGATGTACAGATATACAATATACTTGCTCTCACCTATTATCTTGATATGTTCTTTGCGTTCGTCCTGCAACACGATGTTCTCCATTTTAAGATCTCTGCAATAAAATTACAAAAAAAGTTTTTCAATAGGTTGACAGAAATTGAAAAACATTAATTAATATTTCTTATAAAAATAAAATATTCTCAAGTAACTTTGTACAAAATAATATTTATGGTTGATAGCGACAATTTATTTCTTAATTTTAGTAATATCTTAATGAATATGTATAAATATCTTAATGAAGATGATATTGATAATTTCTTAAAAAAAAGTTTTCATGAGAGCTTATTCTTTATTACAACTTTTTAAAGCTCAATATTTTAAATATCTCGATGGCTAATTTTAATTCAAATCTTCGAATAATTCAATTCGATTGGAATAAAGTTTCGCTTTTTATTTATATTTTATTAACTTATACGATACTTTAAAAAAGTAGAATTTAATTTAATTAAAGAAGATATCAACTGATATTTAGTTTAACTGTTTAGACATTTGGAATTTTTTCTCACGATAATATCACGTTTTCTAGGATTACAATTTTTTTTTTAAATCTAACATACCTCCAATAAAATAACGATTATATAGGCTCTGCGATAATTGCGCGAGTGCGTGCGGGAAAAAATCCGGGCTGTATGCATATTCGAGCGTACATAAGCATATATGCGTGTGCAGTTTGCGCGATCACGTAGCGCGTTCGCGAGATTAACGCTCTCGGCGCAAGAACCCCGTGGCCCTGACCATCGCGCGAAGGTCTCTTTGCTCGTATTTGCCGTCTACGAGCGCAACTCGCGGACCTTGCAAATTGTCGTTTCATCGGCATGATGACGTCTTGACCTCTCGATGGTGTTGGGTTCTCTCGTTTCTCGATCTTGCACATCCTTGACGAGATGTCAGAGCTGTCGAAATTTCACGATGTGGATCTTGGATTCGCTTCTTATGTAAATTTCAAAGACTTTTCGCGTCAATATTGCAAAATTTATATCATGCTTTTTCAAGAATAAATCACAAAGAAACGATTATATTATCAATCGATATAAATTTCACAAATTGACGTAATTCATTTTCTTCGTGACAGGTATCTTTTTTTATAAGACTTATGATTCTAATAAGATCATTAAGAAAATATTTCTAAATTAGTAAACAAATTTACGGATGAACAGAGTAGTGCAATGAAACACTATAGTTAGAAAAATCGGAATATTTCGATCGAGCATGCTCCAGAGATCGATAGGAGAAAGGCAATATCGAAGCTTCTAGCTAAGACCTAAGCTGTCACCGGGATCAGACGGCAACGACCCTGTAGCTTATCCGTGGCAGAGACCTTGGGACCTTGAAACGCATCATTAAAATCGCATCGCCGCGATGCGAGAGAGAAGCCAGTGTGCGCTTTGGGTGTCGCTAATAAGTAATAAAAGAGGACTCGCTCCTCAGAACACGTGCCCGCGGCGAGGTTAATACCGTCATGGGATGCGAGGCGAGCTCGTCAGGATCGTTACTCGTTGGAAGATCTAGAACATCCACAGTATTTTTCTTCATTCTCGGCTGCTGACCATCTCCCATCCAAATTTCGAATCGTTCGAATACCGCGAATGAACTCTCGCTCCAGGATATTCACCCAAAAAAGAGCGAGGAAACGAAATGATGAACGGTTTCTTCAGAAGTTTCGATATTAATTTACCTGTTCTTTCACTATACGATTATAATCAGTCAGTTAATAAAAGAGAGGACAAAAATTCTAAATGAGGTAGAAATTTTAGAAAAAATTTTAATCTTTTCCGAGAAAAATATATAGATATTAAATATGTAAATTCTTTTTGTTTATATTACTGAAGGAATGCACACATACACACAAGCATGACAATTTTAAATATAAATGTAATTCCATAAAATTAAATGTCTCATTTTACGGAAATACCTCTCTCTATTCCATATTCCGTAATTAATTATGCAAAATCAGTAAGTAATGCAATATTCACCATCAAGTAATACATAACTAATCGGTTAATTAATATCCATGCATGTAATATTATACATTACAGGATATTACATAATTATCGGTTAATCTTGTAATTATATTTCGCGATTAGATGACCAATATCATTGAATAATGTTAAACGTCAAACATATCAATGAAATACCGAAATAACGAAGAATATATCAATATTTCGATCATCGGAGCACGTCGCTCGGTTATCGAGGTATCGTCAGGTTCGAGCATCGAACGCGGCCTCCGAGCGATGCGTTTCTACTGCATCCTCGACTGCTGCGGGATAATAGTCGAAACGACCCTGAAGCCGAGGCCACGGTTGTTCGTTGGCCTGGGCGATTACGTTTCTTTTATATCGTCGTAGAAGAGGCCGCGCTGGAGGCCTGGGAACGCGCCTGGGTTCGCGACAAACTTTCGCGACAAATCGCGCGAGATCCGATTAAAGCTCCGCCGCTCGCGCTCGCAATCGCAATCGCGAGAACATAATTGCCGGCGTAAAGCGACAGGTGGTCTCGCGGACTTGATAAGAGAAAAAAAAGAAAAAAGAGAAATAAATAAGAACGCGAAACAAAAAGGGAGCGAGATGTATGTGCCCCGCACCTCTAGCGTTAACGATCGTCCCTCTCTTCTCTCATCTCCTCTCGCTCTGAAAATAAACTCGCGCGGCCCGTGACAAAAGTGATCGATGAACGCGACGATCCAGATATTCCTGCTGATCCACGGACGGACGAGATCCACTCACGTATTATGAGATGGAGCCACGCGTTGCATCGGAGAGAAGTTGCGTTCTACGTGAGGGATAAGAATTGTAAACAGGTGAAAATTTCAAATTTCTCTCCGTTGTCAAAAATATGATACGCTCGCTGATTATCGTATATTGGAGCGTACGTTCGCGGAAAAGAATGTAAATTGCTATTTCAAGGGGGAAAAACTACTCTTGTAAATCTATTTATTCTGTGACACACGCACAGATTCCGCTCTTATGGATTTACTGCTAATTGACAGTTATCTTTTATTGCCGGACAAGACGATAGCATCACCTACCGTGCACGCGGTCGCGTTTACCTCCATCGCGCTCGTAAACGCTCGCGACGCAGGAGCGATGCACTCGCTCGCGAGCACATCCGTAAGTGCTTAAAATTTAATTGCCGGCCGTGACCGTTACATCGGCAGTTTATTTCGGTCTTAATAACCCGGGTCCCCGCGTCGAGCTTTCGCGTGATTGAGCGGGGTCATGTCCGTACTTGCGGATCGCGAGACGTTCGGCAACGTAAATCGAGAGACGCGCGAAATCGAGTGCGCACGTGGAAGCGAGCGATTCATCTCGTTCCTCCCGCGTATAAATATTCGATGCGCGGCGCCGCATTGATAGGCGCGCGTGAGCGCCGTGGAATAATAGATAACGAGATATTTGGGATGCGACGCTCGAGGCGAGGTTTTAATAAACCGGTCGGATCCGAGTGCGATAAACCGGTCCGCGGTTGATGCGTGCGGAAAATAATTCGGAAGAGTTCGGCGGAAAAAACCGTGTAAACACGTTTACGCCTTTCTTCGCATCGGAGTCGTTATGGAGAAATATTTTTAATTTTAATACTTCAAAAAGATTCTTTTTTTTAGAGAACCTTCAGAGAACCTTTTTGCTCCGATCACATTTAATATTTAAAATTAGATATTACGTTTAATATTTAAAATTAGGTATTATTATAAATCTGAGAAAGAAAGAGTCAGAGCTATTTTCATTCCTATAAAAGTATAAAAAATGATACAAAATGCCACTGGAGATCTAGATGTTTATATTTCAAGAGACGCGAGGAAATATGCTTCCTAAAATTGAGACAAATTTTATAAAATTATTCATACATCCATGAATCTATGGAGAAATATTTTTAATTTTAATACTTCAAAAAGATTCTTTTTTTTTTAGAGAACCTTCAGAGAACCTTTTTTCTCCGATCACGTTTAATATTTAAAATTAGGTATTATAAATCTGAGAAAGAAAGAGTCAGAGCTATTTTCATTCCTATAAAAGTATAAAAAATGATACAAAATGCCACTGGAGATCTAGATGTTTATATTTCAAGAGACGCGAGGAAATATGCTTCCTAAAATTGAGAAAAATTTTATAAAATTATTCATGTTACGCATTCACATCTATGAATCTATTAGGTTGCGATTAGGCACGACGATGCACATCATAACGTCATAACACATCACTGGTTCGTCGACCGTAACCCGCATGTTCGACGCGTGTCTCTTATTTTTCCAGCTGGCACCCCGCGCCGATTTCAAGCCGTAAACAGTGAAACAGACGAGTTTGCGACTTATCTCATCTTAATATGTGTCGTTTATTAGCGTGTCGATATGCCCGCAATGTGTTTATCGCCTTGAACGATGTTGGGGATCTCTTTGCCCGAATATCGATTGATCGCGCTGGAGGGTAGTTTATTCGCGGTTATTCGATTCTTTTACCTTTAAGAAAATTCATATATTTAGCGGGAATTAAGAATCTTCGCGATGACAATTATCGATTATTACGTGCCTCTTTTTCTGCTTGAATTTGCTTTTTCTAAATTACAACATAGATTACATTTCTAAATTACATACTCAAAGATATGTTGGCTTTATATTGATTACTAACCGATTAGACAGTATAAAATTTTATTTGCTTTTACGGTTTGTAATTTTCCGTTATTATACGGTATAACCATTAATGTTAAATTAGCAGTTAGCGTTTTAGAATTGTTAATGAAGATTTCATATGTAATACCGGGAGATTCTGTCACTATTGTGCAAAAACAAATGTAATATAACCATTTAAATCGAGATGAATTTTATTTACAATATAATGTGCGACTGTAACGGGTAAATGAATGAATAGTATGCAAAGCTACCAGAATTGCAATTAAAATGCAATTAAAGTGCAATTTAAATGCCGGATTGTTTATACAGCTTTTACAATATTGCCTTTTTTATTTATTTGGATAAAAATTCATGTTGTTCGATTTTTCTCTTCTTGATACAATTGAGTGATTTCCAAAAAAAAACTATCTACTTAGATAGTTTTAAGT